TCAACGAGTTACAGATGAATCTACGAGAATTTGGATCCAACTGTAAACAAGCAATATCAAAAATGAGCCACAAGGACAGAAGTTCGGATCTGATAACTAAAGTACTGGGAATAAAGTGGAATACGGAAGAAGATACCATTGAGATCAACTGCTCAATAGGCACAGCCAAGGAACTTAACAAACGAAAAATAGCCAGCGCGATTGCAGCAATATATGACCCAATGGGATGGTTACTACCATTAGTACATAGAGCTAAGATCTACCTACAAACACTATGGAGAGAACAAATCGGCTGGGACGAGACACTTTCGGAAGAACACCAAACAGAATGGAAGGGAATATGCCAACGAATGCAAGGATTCCACAAAATCCTATCAAGGAAACTCATCCCAAAGGCAACAGAAGCATCTATAATTTCATTTTCCGACGCAAGCACGGAAGCAATGGCAGCCTGTACCTATGTAAGAACAGACCAGAACGTACAACTACTGATGGCAAAAGGAAAACTTCCATCCGTAAAATCAAAATCAACCATTCCAAAAATGGAACTCAATGCAATCACGTTAGCAATGAGACTAACTAACGCAATTTTGGAACAGATAAGACAAGTAATAAAGGTAAAGCAAGTAATAGTGCTTACCGACTCAGAAATCGCATTGAGCTGGGTAACAACACAAGAGAAACCAGAGTCAAGCCCATTTATAAGAAATAGAATATGCGAAATTCGCAAGATCGTAGAACACCTCGAAAATGCTGGACATAGCGTACGCTGCGGCCATATTAGCACACAGCTAAACCCAGCAGACTGCGCAACAAGAGGTGCAACCAAAGAAGAGCTTCAAGAACATTGGTGGTGGACAGGACCAGATTTTCTATTACAACCACAAGGAAATTGGCCAACGACACTGAAAGAAATGGTTAAACAGGCAACAGAAGGAGAAAACGAAGAAGAAATAGGAATTGAAAACGAGCATAGTGTCCAAAGCACAATCCAAGAAGACATCTATCCACAAAACGAAGACATCTTCAGGAACATTCAAGCTCGCAACTTCACACAACTCAAACGAGTAGTCGCCTTCACCTTACGTTTCATCAATTTCACCATCAATCGCTACCACAAAAGGAATCCAAACAAGATAATTCTATCGCAGTGGTTGCCCGAGGAGTTACAAGCAAGTAGCCCATTTCTAACTGGAAAAGAAATAGCATTAGCAAGTAGAGTCTTGATAAGACAACATCAGCAAGCAATGATGACACAGAATATTCGTCAATCCTGCCACCGCTTGAATCTGAAAAAAGACAAAGATGGAATTTACAGATGCATGGGAAGACTAGCAGACAGCTTGTCTGGAAAATTCAGCAAAATTCCCTATCTTTGTCTTACAAAATACATGGCTAGCGCGGTACATCATTCAAGAAAGCCACGAAATAGGCCACAAGAGCACAAGTCACACAATGGCCACGGTAAGGCAAAAATACTGGATTCCGAAACTCGGAGCACAGGTGACCAAATTCATTCGCAAGTGTATACCGTGTCAGAAAATGAACAATCTACCATACAAGTATCCAGAGCAAGGCAATTTGCCCATGAGAAGAATCCAAAGATCATATCCCTTTGAGAACATAGGACTAGACTACTTTGGACCAATAAGCATCACCAATGAGGGAGGCAATATAATCAAGGGATATGGAGTGATAATCACATGTTTGGTCACAAGACTAATACACCTAGATCTGGTAAAGGACGAATCAACAGAAGCTTTCCTGAATATGTTGCGAAGATTCTTTGCCAGAAGAGGGACCCCAAAATCGATAACAAGCGATAACGCCCCGACCTTTATTCTAGGGGAGACAATCCTCAAAGAATGCCACCACAATGCTCTGGAAAATCCAGTTATTGCCAAAGAAATCAGCAAGAGAGAAATCGAGTGGAAATACATCACACCTTATGCACCATGGCAAGGTGGAGTGTACGAACGCCTTATCAAGTCGGTCAAATTAGCAATGCATAAGACGCTCGGAAAAACGACACCAAGGTTTGACGAACTGGAAACTATCATCATAGAGATAGAATCAATGCTCAACACTAGACCATTGACATACATTGAGTCAGAAACAACGGATGACCGAATACTAAGACCTATAGATTTCCTCCAAAACGAATTCCATATTCCAATTCCCCTCGACGTACAAGTCAAAGAAACGGATGATCCCGACTTTATTACCCCAGAAGAACAAGCAAGGCTACTGAAAAAGACAAACGTAATGCAAGCAATACAAAGTTCGTGCAAACTAACGGACACGTATTGGCACCAATGGCAGTACGAGTACCTCACGGCATTACGCGAGACTCACAAACGCGAAGTCAACAAAAAACGATCTTCGAAAGAGATACCTCACAAAGGTAAGGTAGTATTGATCGCGGATGCATTACAACCAAGATATACCTGGAAACTAGGAAGAATCGAAGAACTGGTACCAAACAAAGAGGGGGTAGTGAGGGAAGCAGTAGTCAAATTGCCTTCACAGAGGAAAATCCGAAGACCGATCAACCTGTTGATTCCTTTAGAACTAGAAAAAGAGGAACATAGAAGCCACCAACAGGAAATTGAAGAATTCGAGGAGGAAAAAGGACAACCGCAACCACCAGATACCAGTAACCAAAGGTACAATTTGAGACCAAGGACATCAAGGAAAATGAATGAAAAAATGAAAGCAGTCAACTTCAACATCAGTACTATTTTGACAATAATCTTAACATCACTGATAAGTGGGGTAAACGTAAAGGCAACAAATCAAGGAATTCGATGCACACAAGAAGGAGTAGAAATACAAATTCCGCAGATAACTCCCTATCAGATTTGCGTCGAAGACTTCTGCAAAACGCTGGAACACCCAAAGTTGCGGGAAATACTGAAATTACCTCCACAAATCATTCTACATGACTATGTAGTGCACTGGAAGATAGGTGAGAACTCAACGATAACAACAGTGGAAACGACATGCCCAGCAACATCCTTCTGCGCGAACATAGACTGTACATTATGCGCCACACTAATACTCAATCCGGAATGCTGGCCCGTAGGAGCAATAATAGTAAGCGGATTGATGCTTTACTTGCTCTGCATTGGCTGCTACGCATTTCTCTATGTACCAATAATCATCGGACGACCACTCAGAGTGGTATTATCAGCAATCTGGGCAACAATCCTTTTCGTTCGAAGGAAAAGCAGAAGATTTCGATATGGACCAAGGCGAACGGCAACGGACCTCATTGAACTTTTGGCGGTGTTAGCAACGGTAACAGTAGCAACATCATCAGCATGCCAACAAATCAACATATTTTCCCACCAATCGACAATTTGCACAGAAACATCGAATTCTAACCAAATGTGTAAAATACAGTTATCTGAGGTACTGAAAATCAATCCATTCAAACGTGAAGCCTGCTTCAAGTTAACAAAAAACGGGACAACGCTGCATGAAATACACGCTACCTGGAAGGCCTTGATTCTAACATGCGAACAAACGACAGACTTTTACACTAGACAAGTCTCTTACAACGTCATAGACAGTAAAAGATGCCCACACGTTGGCACATGCGTAGAACCAAAATGCGCAGCAATTAACGGAACAAGCTTAATACCAGAGCTAGAGCAAGGTAACAAGTACCCAGGAGTAACGTACTGTGTAGAATCATGCGGAGGGCCAGGTTGTGACTGCTTTTACAGGAGCTCGGGATGCCTTTTTTATCGCATATACTTTATCCCACCATCGGCACAAGTATTTCGCGTTTTTCATTGTAATCGCTGGAAAGAAGCCGCAAAAGTGGAACTCGTGCACATTGATGGAGTCAATGGAAAATCGCAAACATATTTGGTACATATGCTACCCAACATCCCAATAAAACGGGGACCATTTTCGCTCACATTAAGCTCAGTAACAATTCCCCCTATCCCCATGCTTAATACCTACTTCATAACAAACAACAACGAAACAGCCTTATGGGATCGAAAACTAACCCCACCACTATCATGTGTAAACCAAGAAACGGCGGAAACTCTGGACTGCGAAGTCAGAGACGACTGTATATGCTATCCAGCAGAAACAAAAGCTAACTGCAAGTGTAACGAGATTGACATATCCTCAGGATTCAACGACCTGCAAAGAAGGCTACCGGCAGAAATGCCTTCAGTATCCTTCAAACAAAACGAACAAGGGAAAGTCCAAGCAACAGTCACAACAATGACCACCTCAGAAATTATACTGAACATACAAGAAAACCTAAAAACAAAAATCGCAGTAGACCAAGTTTTTTGCACAGTGACTAACACGATACTTACAGGATGTTACAATTGTGCAAAAGGCGCAACAGCACAAATTTCATGCGTAGCCGCGAAACAAGTATATGCAGAAATTACACGCGGGGAATCAAGCTTCACAGTAGCATGCGACGAAAACGGCAAACAGTCTACGCTGAGATTTAGTCCAGCACAAGCTAGAGTGCATATGCGGTGTATGGTGAGCTGCGGAGGAGAACCTACGAGCTTTGAAATTGCCGGCATCCTCAAGTACACTCACACAGCACAAGACATAATACAAGCCTGGTTAAAAGGATCATCAAACGAGTACCAAGAAATAAAATTGCCAGATTTTCCGCACATATTTGACGTTTTCATACAATGGTACAAAACCGTGCTTTGCGTACTAATAGCGGTACTAGGTTTACTCTTCATTACCTACACTTGCTTCACGACGTGCGGAATAAAAATTATCTACTTTTTGCTGCGCCTTCAATTCCGCCTACTCAGAAAGGTAGTGAAATCTGTTCTATTCATACCAATTTGGATCATAGCTCAAACAATTAGACGCAGCAATAGACAACACAATTAAAAAACTTCCCCTTTTTTAATCAAGATCTCCGATAGAAAATAGATTAAAAAAGTAGGAAAAAAGTATACAAGAAACAAGAAGTAGAATACCAATTTTATTTCAGCAAGATGTCACACATGGAAGAGCTTGCATACCTAACGGACAAGATCGCACCAAGAGTCACAATAACAATACCAATGTTGGAAGAAGACCTTGGGAAAACACTAGAAGAGATGCAAAATCAAGTAAATGTCGCAATGACTATCAACGAAGAATGGAATCACCTCAAACTGGAATGGTTCAAGTTCGCGGATACAGAGAAAATCGTCACGATTTCCCGTCTAATTCGCGCGGCGGGAGCAGCGAGAGACAGCTACCTCAAGCTGTGTACTCGCTTGATTTTGACGGCCAAATGGATGGAAAAGTTCCGGCGTATAGAACTAGAGCAGGAAAGTCGGGAAAGGGTGTGGCTAGACGACATCCTGTGCATGGACATGAAAGGACAAATGAAAAAAATGAACAAGATCATAGAAAAGTTAGAAAAAGAAGAGAGAGTCGTGGTAGCATTTCTCCAGACAAGAAACGAGGACTTCCATAGAGCACAACGCGACCAACTAACGATTAGTCGTCTGAAAGAACAACTCCGAGAAGCCGAGTGGGAACTCTTCTCTATCAAGGCCAAAAGAGCAAGGCTGGAGATGGGTACAGAGGAGGCACCTCCTAATCCTCCTGAAACAAGTAAGAACCAGCAACTTCCAGAGAGAAAGGAAGAATCACGAGTCCAGGATCTCCCAAGACTTGTGGACGATGAGGAGGAAGAGATGGAACTAGAGGAGGAACTCATGGTGATTGACGAAGACGAAGTCGGGGAGGAAAACAGTGCTAGGCACAGACAGGAAGCAATTCTGGACGATGACGGATACCTCGACCAGCTACTACGGGAAGCCGGAGAGACGCCCCCAAGAACTCGGCGAACCAAGTATCCAATCATTAGACGAATCCATACTCAGAGGGAACGTCGTCATCGAGCAAGCGGAGGAAGACATGAAGAGAGTACAGGTCCAAGAACAGAGGCCTCACGATCAAGTTGACGCTGAAGATCGAGACAAGATACCAAGAAAGGGTCAAAACGAGCTTCAAGAGTTGCAGAATCACATCCAAGAATTGGAAGCCCGCATCCAAGTAGCGCGGGAGGAAAATCGAGCAAGGGAAGAAGAGGTCAACGAAGTAGAGAGGGCTATCCAAGTACTCCCGCGACGCATTCTGCTAGACGCCCCTGAAAAAATCCCAGTGAACATAACCTGCGCCTTCTGTAAGACGCGGGGTCGACACTTTTCAGATTCCTGCTACGTCATTACAGATGGAGACGAAAGGTACAACCTCGCTTTGGAAGAGGGATTGTGTCATAGATGCCTGCTTGGACACGGCGGCCGGTGCAGAAATCCCTTTCGTCCGTGTTACTACTGCGAGAAAGTCTCGGGGACCGTGTCGGAGGAATATTGTCCCAAAGACGAAGATCATCACAAGGCTCTATGTCCCATACCCAACGCGGAAAATAAACTCCAACAACGAATCCAGAGGATCATGGGCCACTATCTCGAAGTCGAACAAGACATAGAGAGAATGGAAAAGCAAAGGGACGACCTCAAGAATCAAGTAGAACAGATTCTTCGTCAGGATCCAGCACCACCAAGACCATAACTCGTCGCCGCCAGTGTCGTGAACACGACTCCAATCAAGGATTACTCAAGTACGTATTGATCCAATACTTCATTATTATTTTTCGCCAAGCTTTTCTTTCAGAATGCCTTTGTTTACATCAGCGCGCGGAGCCGACTCCAGATGGAACGACCGATAGCAGACAGTTCTTCGCCTATGCAGCTGCTTCGTGCTCACAAGTATCATTTTTTTCATATTTGCATTTTTTCCTATCATATCTTCCTGTGACATCTTTTGTCAAAGTATATAAACCCGTGTTACAGTAGACTCATATTTACTGAGTTGAATTGCAATACTTTTTACATTCTTTTTTGTCCACTTTTTTAAGAAAACAATCCTACAAAATTAGCATTAAAATCAAGTATATTCAAGTATTAACCAGGAAAGGATAAACAAGTATTATTGCAATTTGTGTGCCTCGTGTATCCTTTTCATTAGTTTCCTGTGTATCATTCAGCATTTTTTCACTCAATTCGTATTTGTTATGTAGTTTAGCTTCATATTATTTTGTGTTTGTTATTTTGTCGGTTTTTTCTCTTATAACTACTTCATAAACGGTTTAATTACCCAAGTTTGAGTTGAGGTACGCAACATCAAGAGTAAGCCCGCGTGGCAGCATTCAAGTACATTGGTCTCTTGGTATTCGAGGTTTATCGTTCTAAATATCCATCGTTCCTCAACACATTATATGCAAAGAGTCGTCGTCGTTATAGCGGTTTATGCTTTATCAATTGATATTTTGAAATTGGCTTCGCCACCATTTGTCCGTGCTCGGATTATCGAGGAGGTCGGTGCCGATTGCTTGGATAAAACCATGCTATGTAAGCAGACCGGAAAAGTGAAGTGCTTGAGAAGGATAGGTGCTTTTTGTCTTTCTATGATTTGAAGAAGTTTTTACTCATTATGAACTTTCAAATTACTGTTCCAAGAGTCAGCAGAAATTCTTCATTGCAGAGGGCCTTCACATTTATGGAAACCGAAGCTCATTCGGTTATCAATATTGAGATTCTGACTCTGAACTATATATTTGCGTACATTGGTCATAGGGTGCTTCAAAATTTCAGTCACATCAGCGCTAGACAAACGATGACCGTTTTAGACAAAGAGTACCATACCAACTGACAGATTTTATCTATACCAGTTGGAAGTGGCCAACTATACATGTAAGATTGATTTTCTTCTCCAGAATCGATCATTTACGAATTCGATGTTTTATTTCTTCTTATCTCATCGGTCCGGAACGGGGCAAGTGGCCAAAACCTAAAAAGATCCCCACAATTCAAGTTATTGGGCCAATATAAGAAATCCTGCATTTACATACGTCTCATATAGTGAGGAACAGAATTTTCCAGAGCTATCAAGTGTAGATGACCTTTTCTGGTTATGCAGTAAATATTACTACGAGAATATGTCTGAACAGCTGGTCAAACAAAGCAAAACATACAAAACTAGTCCATCATGGGGCTGCCATTCTACCGAAGTCTAACATCTTACTGCTCACTAATCTGCCATACTTGGCAGATATCTTTGGAGGATTCTGTCAGAAAGAATCGCTTACTGACTACGCGATTGGTATCCATTTACTTGTTCTCGTAAGTTTTCTGTTTAAGCTATTCTATTTATTTAGACCTTTACAACTAATGTCATTCACTCAAAACTTCAAAGTAAGGGAGATTTATTGATTTGTGATCGTTTTCAATCCCCCCCCCCCACTTCCTCGCGAAAGAAAACAATGAAGTTCCGAATGTCACAGCTTTTTGCAGACGAGTGCTGATAGCAAGAATGAAGCTTCTACTGCTTTTGTTTCTTCTGGTATTTTGTGGTGCAGAATCAGCGAGGATGCTGAAAAGAGCAGGCGGACAGTAAGACTAGTTCAATTTCACTACATTTACATAGAAAAATCAAATTTCTAGATGGAAATTTAAATGCGAAAAGAGCAAATGCAAGCCTGTGCCAAAAGCCAAGTCCAAAATGCAACATGGCAATTTCTACGACAGTCAAAAACAGTGCCTAAACTACTGCGGATTATGGCAGTAACGATAAGTCAACTGCACATCGATCACAAACGATAGATATGATCTTCATTGTCGATCATTGCCAAAACTATAGGTTGTTTCTTGAGTGTTTCAAACCCCATTGATTTGACTAAAATGAAGCAATCACGTACCTGTTAGATTATTATTGACAGCCTCGTTATACTACTACTTAGGCTAAGTTGCTTACAAAGCGCTTGCAATTCTTTTTGAACATGATATTAGGTTGTCCCGAAAGTTTTGTCGGTTTTTTTCAAAGCTCACCAAACCTCACAGAACACCAATCCATGAGCGGCCTAGGTGTCATTCTATTCTAATTTTGTCCCCTTTCTTATAGCTATATTTGTTCCCTGAACTATCCCGTCTTTGCGATGTTATCGCAATGGCTTCTTGAGCACCTCAACAGTAGCGCCAAAACTTTCCTGAATTTTCAAAATTTTTATCTTGATATTTTCGACGAACGCTGGTGACTGTTATGTAGGGCAAACCTTTGGCTACATTGTATCCATTTTAGATTAAGTGAGCCACGTTTATCAAGTCCGTAATAATTATTTATTTGAGAAAAACCGCGGCTTTTTGAACAAGTTTTACCACGTAAAATTACCGAAAATTCCAGAAAGCTGATTTTTGAAGCAAATCAAACTTGGTTATGTTGCATAAATGATGTTTAATAACAAACAAGTTTGAATTCGCAAAAGCTTCAAAAGCTTTCATGCTTTTGCTGCAATTGCGCGTTTCATGACTTTGCTAAAAACCAAGGCCTCCGGAGAAATAATTTTTTGAAGTTAGAATCAGCATATTAGGAGAATCTAAAAATACCACCTTGTAGCCCGAGAGTTGCTCTATTTGATCCATACTTAGTCTTTTTCGAAACTTTGTAATGAAATTTTTAAAAATCAGCTCAACTTTGAGCAGGTAAAATTGACAGGTGGAGAATTTTGGCAATTATCAAAAAAAGCACACAAGATTATGGTATGAATTTGTATTCGTAAGAAAGAGAAGGAAAAGCTGCATCGAATGCATGTTGAAACTCACTCAGGTCTTTATTGTGCGTGGTTTTACAGTGGTTTGAAAAAACCGACAAAACTTTCGGGACAACCTAATATATTGCTGTGAAAGTATGATGGTAATTAGTGCTGGACAATAGCTGCTACTTGTACTAACATACTCGTACCCTTTTCGTTTTTGATCATCGGAATCCTATTATTATTTGGAAGTTGTAGATCGTGTTCAGGCAAGCAACACGAAAAATCTCAGATGAAAATTTGCAAGAGCTGATGCAAGCAGCCAAACACAACAAATCACAGCTAAAAGTTTGCAAAAGCTGAACTTTATACTTGAAACATCATAGAAAATTAACGATAGAAAACCATTGGCTCGAGCAGGTGTATTCGATAACTTGTAAATTGGAGGGGAGCTCCTGGAACAGTGCTTACAAACAGCTTTAGATTGCATCGTCAAGAGTGCCAAAATAATATGAATTATAAGTCTGAATTTTATCTGAAGTCACAGCCTCTGAAATGTGCCTACCTAATATGGAAAATCGGAAGAGATAGTTTAGAAGCTGTTCTGCAAAGAACTCCGCACTAGGCAGCCAAAACTCTAGAAAAGAAGTCTTCAAAAATTACGACAAACCCTCTAAGGTGCTTATAAAGAAAAGTCACAAAAGGGAAGGAACAGAAGGGAATGCTTGGTTGCTGAGCTTTTGCTGATTCTATGTCTATAGATAGTAATTTTTAATTTTATCCGGTGCGTATTCGCTTGTTTGATTACAAGTCCTAAATACTGATTGACTCAAAACAGGAGAGTTTAGAAACACGCAGCTTTCACTACCTACAGTAGATATATCCAGAAATTCACTTCAAAATAAAAAGAATCTATGCGCTAAAGTCGCTGTTGCATCACTACAGCCCAAGAGTGAGTGGAGATGATGCCATGAAACTTCAGTAGTAAAAATAAAATTGTAAAATCAAAAATATGGCAAACCAGGAGTAGCTGGCTATGCATATGCCAATTAGGTAGAAGCAGCAACAGGTAAGAGCAGCTGAGATGAGTGATGAGAGTGATGAGAACAATAAAAAAGAACACGGGAACGTTCAGCAATCCTGAGGGTGACAACCTGAAACATGAAGCTAGGTTAATCTCACGGTCGTTTCTCATACATAACTAAAGGCTTGTCCACAAAACAATACAGGGTGTCCCCAAAAAATGTGAACACCGATCGTTAATAACTCCGTTGCTTTCATGTCTTTCGCCGAGCTTGAGGCACCATTGTGTAGAGCGAGGTTCAACTTAAATTTTTAGTATGGAGCGGATCATTGACCGCTCTTCGTTAATGTAAGATTATGGCATGAACTTCTAACATGTGGATCATTGTGAAATATGCCGTTTGACAAGATTTTTTTCAAAAATTTTGAAAAATCGTGTACTAGGGTTTTCGCTCACGTTGATTTTACTACACAACTTTTTACGAGTGTTTTTAGCTTTTTTGACGGTGTAATCACACTTCTGACAAATGCTGGAAATTCAGTTACTACGGTTTACCTGGGATATTGGAAAGCATCACAGTAAAGTAGATTTCATATTCGAAATCAGCGGCTTTTATTTCCTCAGTTTAAGAGTTTTTGGCTTACTTGGTTTTGGTTTTCCAAGGCATAAAATGGCCTCCAATGGTCAAAAACCCTTGTCGAAGTTCCTACCGTAAGTCTACAGTAATGAAGAGCGGTCAATGATTCGCGCCATACTGTAGATCTAAGTTGAACCTCGCTCTATAGAATGGCCCAAAGCTCGGCGAAAGACATGAAAGCAAGGGAGTTAAATTGAGGGAGTTAAGCAAGGGAGTTAAATTTATCAAACAGTGTTCACATTTGTAGACGTTGCTTTCGAGCTACACCAAGATTGGTAACAATACTTTTTACAATACTACACAGCCTGGGTCAATCTGTTTGACCCCAGGCTGTATAGTATGCCCATATAGCAGAGAGGGTGACTGTATGGTGTCAGGAGTAATTTATCTGATCACATGTTTATCATGTGGCGACACCTACATTGGAGAGACCGGCCGCCCCCTTTGTGTTCGTATCAAAGAACATCTAGATGGGCTAAATAAATCTAAGCCCTCCACACCTCTGGGGCAACATCGCAGAACACGCCACGAAAACGCTGAAGTTCAAATTGGAGTGAAGATCTTGTCGTTTGAGCCCGAAATCCTAGCACGCATGCTAAAAACCCAAAAATGAACAGAAAAGACGAGTGCATTGCGATCACCACCGAACTCGCACTTTATCAATCCCTCTGTGGATTTGCATGAGGTCAGGTCACTTGGGCGTATAAAAGTGAGGTTGCGGCACAGTTTGGCATAAGGTGGTCTGTTTTTCGACTATCGCTTGTGCTACGTCTAAGGTTAGTAAAAAGTGTTTTTGGCTCTGATTCTGCTCTTTAGACTAATCTTCTTTTCGATTTGTTCCGTCTTTGTTCTTGACGTCTGACTGCATAGTCACTTATGACTTCGGCTTTCCAGGCTCCGAAGAAGGCGCTGAACGCCGAAACGTCGACGTCAGCCAATAAAAGTATTGTTACCAATCTTGGTGTAGCTCGAAAGCAACGTCTACAAGTGATTATCATGCCAAGATTCAAGGACAACCGAACAATGGCGATATTGAGAGTGTTCACATTTTCTGGGACACCCTGTATATGAAAAATCAATCTAAATCTAACCTCAACGTACATATGTAGTTACCAATCTCAAGATTCGACAACAGCCTATCTGAAAAGTCCAGCTTCGATGCCTACAAACTGAAAAATCTGCATTGAAACAGCAATGACTGCGCTAAACATTGAAATGAACGCACGGAAGAATTTGCAATGCTACTAATTGCACATATACAAAGTTGAAGATACAGTTTACCATTTTATCATTTTATTGAAAGTATTCGATTACTTGAACCAGCTATACTTCAGTTCAATAGTCTACGTTTTTGTAGAAAGTCTAAGATACTTCTAATACTCACTAAGATCAAAAATGGTGCCACGATTCACATCAATGTAACATCGGGGGAATCACGCATTGTGTACTTCGAAACTATTGTGAAAACTGTATTCTCCAACAACACACCCCCATTCTGAGTAAATCTTATTATATCAAATATATAGCAGTATTTGATATGTGTTTGGACAGCTTGACTCTAGTAGACGTAGCAGAGCATTCAAAGCTGTAACAGTTATATACGAGGACATTGTCTTTCACATTTTGGATTCCCACTTGATATCTTGGCATAGAGTTCTCCTCCATCCACTGCTGCCCACAGAGTAATATCTCAAAAATATAACCCAGTTAAAGCCGCTGCGTTTTTATAGCCTTCTTTGAGCTAATCACGAGGTTTACTGTAAATTTCCATAGAATTCAGAAAAACATTTCTCAGCTGACCTCTTTTTAGATTACGATTGAGTTTCAAAACTCACGAGAATTTTTGTAGCTTAATAAAAACAAGATACTGCGCTTAACTCTTGCGCGGAAGCTAGCACGACTTGAAATTACTTCTCAACAGAGAAACCAGCACGCAAATGCTGGTTTCTCTGTTGAGAAGTAATTTCAAGTCTTGCGAAGTTATCAGTGCTTCTAGTCGTGTCATAACGGGCAGAATGATATATAATGTTGCAGTTTCGTTGAGACCACTAGGAAATTTATGACCAGTCCAAATGTCCCGTCGGATGTGGTGTTTCTCCTCTGCTCGTCTGCGTATCCACGCATGGCTCGCTACCTCGCTACCGCAAACGCGGCATTTGGCTCTGGCACCCTTTTCTTTATTGTTCTGAACTTTATTAGCAAACTGTATATCATATTGAGGCTCTTGACTTCTACTTTCACACTGACAACGTCCTAAAACCCAGTTTTTTTGATTTAAAGGAAAAATCTGGCAAAAGTCATGTTTTCGAAAATCTCTTGTACTTTCCCTAGTTCACTCTTTTCACTCGGTACTTCAAGATTGGTGAAAGAGAGTCTTT